GAGACTTAAGTGACACACGCAGTGCTGATATGCAGGGAATAGGGAAAAAAAATTATCTCCATCGTAATTTGTTCCAAAATTAAGGCATGTCCGGTTATTATTTTATACTCTCTCTCAGTGGCTGTCACTGTGTAATTAAGAGCACACTTGTCATTCTGAAGTATTTGTGCCTCTCTCTGATCTCTCCACAAGGACATTAGCAGAATGGCAATATTGCTCTGTAGTCCATCAGCCCGAGACACAGCATTTGGATCTGGATCTAAACGGCCAGATTCCCAGGTCCCTGAACCAAGGCTGTAATTACAGTAATGTGTGAATGGTCCCCGTGTGATCTTTCCTGTAGGATACTTCATTTTCCAACTTGTTATTGTTCTGGCTGAGGTGGGAAATCTGCTGCGTCGGTGCTGTGGTGTTTGGTGAACAGCTGATTTAATTCACATGATCTCTGCAGTCATTTCTCCCACCCACCCAAGCAGCCTGTGGGACGCCTCTCCAGGTGCCAACGCTCCCAAACTGCAGGAGCTTTCCTTCCCCATTCCGTTCCATAGCAGATCTGCTCACACACCACCCAAATCTCAAAAGCAGCCTTGAGTGAATCGTTCCCATCCAGGCGGCCTGAGGCTGAGACTTGCTGAAGATGTCCTGATGCAAGCACTTTGTAACCAAGTTGCTCACTGCAGCACGGAATGAAGCCTTCCCTTTTGTCAGAGGACTTTCCGGGAAGGGTTAACCCCCACGAGAGGCTGCTTTTAGGGTGCATCCATCCCTTTTTACGAGCGAGCGTGCCCTGACAGCTGTCCTTGTGGCGACAGCTCTCCTGATTACAGCCGGCCTCGAACCGCGGGCTGCGCCGGGTGATAAATTCTGCCTCCTTCTGCCCGCTGCTGACCCTGGGTTTAATCGGAGGTTAAGCGGAGGCCAGCGCTCAGCCTCATCCCGAAGGCTCTGCTCGCCTTTGGGACTCGGGTCCTGCTAAATGGCCTCCCATCTCCTCGCCTCCATCCATCCTCCCGCCCTCCGGGAATACCCAACTCATCCCACTGCAGCTCCCAGAGGAAATCAAGGCTTCTCGGAGCGCTGGCGGCCACGTGGCTGCACGGTGGGCAGGCTGTGCGTCCTCATGGGCGCTCCGTCTTCCTTGGAAAGAGCCATCTGTTCGGCTCGGTGCGGAGGGAGGGGAAATAAATAAAAAAAAAAATAGGAGAGAGAAAGAAATTCATCATCCGAACCCTGAGGATTAATGGAGTCACCAGGCGAACTGAGCTGAATGGAAATTCATCTTCACCCGTGCCGGTGTCAGGAGTGCCGCTCCGGCCCTTGACAAATAGAGGTGCCCAGGGTGCCATAAATCCGGTGGTGAGGCTGCTCTGTGGGGACGCTGCCCCTATGGGGACACGGCAACCAGCCAGGGCACACAGGAGCGGGGCGAGGGTGGGCACCGTGCTTATAGGGTTGGGCTGCCGTTCCCTGGTTGCCCTGGAAATCCCCTCTTTGCAGCCACCTCTCTGTTCGGTCTCTCCCACATCCCTGCTTCATCATAGAACGGTAGAACCACAGGACAGCTTGGGTTGGAAGGGAACTCAAAGACCATCGGGTTCCAACCCCCTGCCGTGGGCATGGTTGCCAACCTCTAGACGAGCATCATCCCCTTCCCTTCCTCCTTTTCTTTTTATCTTTTTCTATATAAGCTTCAATCACACCTTGCCTTTATTTTAATTAAACTTTGCCGCTCGTCGCTTCAGGTCAGCGCAAAACTGCCGAGTAATGCAAAAGATCCTCTGGTTACAACATTTAACAGCAAAAAAGAGTTAGTTGGTTATATTGTAAAAGGACCTGAGATATAATTAAAACCAAAGAGGCACCGATCCGGCAGGAAGCAGCCCTGCAAGCAGCCCAGGGCCGAGATCTGACCCTGCTCTTTCTTCCTCCCTCCCCACAGCCTCCGCCTGTGAGTTTTCTGACATCGTGGAGCTGCTGCTACAATCCGGAGCCGACCCCACGCTGCGGGACAAGGAGGGCTGCCTGCCAGAGGAGGTGACAGACTGTAAGGCCATCACCTCGGCCCTGCAGCGGCACACAGCAGGCAAGGTGTAGCCGTGCCACACGGCCGGATGGGTACCATCGTGCAGCAAAGCCCTGCTCTCCTCCAAGCAGGCTGCGGGTCAGGGTTTTGCATGCTCTGACATCTAGCAGTATTCCGGGGTAAGGAGGGGGGACAGGACTTGGATAGGTCCCTGTGTTTTAGTGCACACTGCCGGGGAGGGCTGCTGGCACAGCCAGGGCCATGGGGTTGCATTACGGTTTGGGTTTTTTTTTTCTCTTGGGTCCAAGCAAAACATAAATAAAACAAGCACAGTGTTGGGATGGTGTCTCTGCCTGCTTCTCTTGCAGGGAGGAACTTGAGGGCTCTGAGGGATGTGGTCAGTGGGCAGGGTGGGGATGGGGTGATGGATGGACTGGATGACCCAAAGGTCTTCTCCAACCTTAATGAGCAGCTTGGTTCTTGGGAGGCTGTAGGGATGGGAGGTGCCATCCTCTGTCCTGCATCCATCTGTCTGCCCCCAGATGAGGGCTGGTAACATCTCCTGTGCCAGTAAGAACTGCCAACACCAGGTCCTCCTGCAGTGCACCCACTTCTGGGCTGATGCTGATGGCATTTGGCAGCCAACACCGTGGCACAGCATTGCCCACGAGCACAGGGCAGGCTCAGCAGCTGTGACGGGCTGTGTATTCCTTTGTGCCTTTCCTCAACAGATTCCAACACTTAGGGTCACTTGCAGCCCTTGCAGGAGGTGTTGGGTCAATGGCAAGGACAAGTCAGCCCGCTGTGTCTGCTGCATCACTTTGGATGCACCTACGACAGCCCAGCGTTGCATCAGCAAACCCACTGTAGCCAAAATGCTAATTCACAGCCTGAACCAGCACCCGGTGGGAAGGCAGGGGGATCAGCTGTACCTCTCACAGCCCCCAATGTGAAGGGAACTTAGGCTCAATGGGCAGTAAAACGCCCTCTTACAGCTGGGATAGAAGCAGTGGCATTGAGGCCCCTGCTTTCAGGGAGCACATGTGGGGCTCGGCACGCAGCCCTGGAGATGTTTATAGCACTTTAGGTCTGTTTGTGAGTTTGGAGCCTTTCCAAAAAAAACCAGGAGGGGGGGGTAAAAATGAGAAAGACATATATTATTGTTTATAATCTGCTTTATTCAGCCAAACCTTTCCCCAACAGCCTTGCGGATTGCTGCTTAAATCCCCCGGTGCCTTTAACTACCGATACAGAAAGTGGTTAATGTGCATTCGGGCTAAGCTTGGCATCTACTCCAGGAAATCACTTTAATTGAGAAGCATTAAATGTTAAAATGATTAAAATATATAAAGCCAACACACCGGTGCCCACGGCGGGGCTCAGCACCCAGCACGCCTCACCTGAGCAAGCACAGAGCTGAGGTCCCCCCATCTTGGGACAGTCCCTTAGGGCACAGGGGGAGCAGTGGCAGGGATGGAAGTGCCCACTGCAAAGCACGGGGATGTACCAGCTCCGTGTCAGGCTGCTGGGACTGCTGTCACCCCATCCGCAGCTCGGTGGGACCATTATGGAGCCGTAATCGCTCCATCTCCCTCCTGGACCAATGTACCGCAGGCTTCACTTCACCCAAATTACCTGAGGGGCTGCAAAATGGCCCCATGTGGGGACAGAGCAGGTGATACCGCTGGCCCCCCTCCCCTCCCCCCCAGTGGGGAAGAAGAGCCCAGAGACAGCAGCTGCAGATGAGACCCGAATTTATTGACATCGTGTGCCCTCGACGCGGCAGGGACCGTACACAGCTCATGCCATGGCACAGGAGGCAGGGTACAAAGCAGCATCCCACAAACAGGGTGTGGGTGGGGGTCGTGTCTCCCCAAAGACACGGCAATAAATAAGATTTTAGTCTTTAAATGTTTTTATTGTTTTCTTTTTTTTTCCTCCCCCCCTCTTCCCAGCAAACGACTCACTTTCTGGAACTGTACAACATTTACAAGGGGAGGGGAGGACGCTTGGCTGCATCGGATGGGGACGGTGAGCAAGCAGGGACTGCTGCAGGGACAGCCCCCCCACCGTGTCCCCTCCCTGTGCCACCCGGGGGCTGGGGGCTTGGCACAGAGCAGCACCGGGGAGGGCACAGCTGGGGGCGCACAGGTGCAGCTGGGCAGTCCTGCAGCACCAACGCACCCAGCCGGGGGACAGCCTGCCCAGCATCGAGCTTTCTCACTTGATTTCACATTTATTTGTAATTCCCTTCGCTTTCGGCCGCGGGCAGCAGCCAGTACAGCCTGATGTCACCGAACGCCCCCGATCACGCACGTCCCCGCGCACGGACCCTTTTTCCCCACCGTTTTGGGGAATGTTTTTGCAATATCTTGCAGCAGAGGCTCACCCCACGCTCCCAATCATCTTTCCCCGTGTTCCAGCCCCAGCTTGGCCGTGCCCTCGGTCTCTCAGCCTCGAGGCTTTTCTTCCTGCTGCAATCCCTCCCCTCCAGCCAGCGAGGTGCAGCGCTGCACCGTAAGCACTCCTGCACGCCCGGGGATAAATCACGGCCCTGCAGCCGCAGCGCGACAGCCCCGCTCCCACCCGCCCAGCGCCGCAGCCAGCAGCCAGCACGGCCCCTGGGCCGGGAGAAACGCTCTGAAACGAACCCTTCTGCCATAAAGGCTTTGCCATCCCTGATTGTCCTCCCCTCCTGCGCACGTGGCTCTCCGCCGACCAGGAGGGACGAGGCGGGGTGACCCCGACATCCTCGCCGTGCTGTGCTCCCGCACCTCCCTTGTGCTTACACATCCAAAGGCACCCGCCCCATCCCGAGCCCCGGACATCGCCGATGCCCCAAGGATGGGCGCCGAGCCCCCACGGATCCCTCCGGCTCCTCTTCCCACGGGAAATCCTGGCACCATCTCGCACCTCCGGCGCTGCGCTTGCGGGCTGGGGGAGCACGCAGGGAGCCGGGGCGGGGGGCGTGCGGCGCTTAGAAAGGGGGGTGATCCATGTCATCCAGCCAGGAGGCCGGGCTGGTGGGAAAGTCTGGGTACCCGACGCTGCTCCCCGTGGAGATGTCGGATGTGGGGCCCCCCCCGGCCATGGCGCGCAGCGTCTGACTCACCCCCTGCGCCCCCAGCCCCATGCTGCTGTCCATGGCGTAGTCCAACCCGTTGAGCAAGGGCGGGTGGGACGGCAGTGACGAGATGGACGAGGGTGACTGGGGGAGCCCGTAGGGGCTGCCGTCCCGCAAGTCCTGGTACGGCTGCCCCGTCCCGTCCATGGCGAAACCACCGTTCAGCAATTGTCCTCCTGCCACGTCGCCAACGCTGCCGTAAACCCGGTTGGTGTGGCCGAGCTCGGAGAGGATCTGGTCGTCTGCTCAGACAAGGAGAGGAGTGCACGGGGTGTCAGCTGTGCACAGGGAGCCCCACAGACCCCCGCCCCGTGTCCCTCTGCCCTGCTCACCGCGGAAGCTGAGCTCGCTGTCGCTGACCCCGCAGTCCTCAGCTGAGCTCTCCTTCTCCAGCTTGCCGGCCCCACGGCTCCGCTTGACGCTCTTGTAGAACTGACCCCAGCGGTGCCGTCCCGCATCCTTCTTCAGCCTCTTCTCTTTGGCCCGACGGTTCTGGAACCACACCTGGGACGGGCAATGGGGACGTTGGTGGTGGTCCTGCAACCCGGCATCCCAACGTCCTGCATGCCAGCACCTCTCAGCCACACCATCTGGCACCCATATAACTCAGCATCCATCACTGCTCCAACCTTGCGTCCCTGCACGATGGGACCCCCACACCCCTACACTCCAGCTTCCACGCAGCTGTGTAACCAAGCAGTCCAAACAAATATGCCTGCAGTTGTGCAATCCTGCAGCCCATTAGCATGTCATGCCAGCACCCCAGCCCCCATATAACCCAACACCCCTGCACATCACAATCCCTGCAACAACTCCATACCCCATCATGCCAGCACCTGAGCACTCCAGCTCCCAGGCACTGCACATCTGAGTATGCCCACAATTCACTGCCCCAGCAGGCCAGCATCCGTGCAACCCAGCACTCCTAGCAACCCAGCATACCCCTGTATGCCAACACCCATACAATCTGGCACCTCTGCGCCACATTACCGTGGCATGACAGCACTCATGCAGCCCACCACCCATACAGTGCAACAGTCCTGCAAATCAGTACATCACTGCTTCAACATTTTATCCCTGCACACCGGGATCCCCACAGTTCTGCACCCCATCATGCCTGCACCAAAGCACTGCACGAATGAGTGACCCTACAAACCAGCACCGCTGACATCCAACATCTGTGCAACCCATCACACCTGCACCTCATTACCACGGCACTGGTACAGCCTACCACCCATGCAAATCTGCATGCCAGCAGTCCCACAACCTGACTACCAGCACGCTGGCATCCATGCAGTCTAACACCTCTGCAACCCAGCACTACAACATTGCTGCAACCTTGCATCTGCATACAGCAGGAACCCCAGCACCCCCCACCCAGCTTCCACACACCCTGCAATTAAGCATCCCTGCAGCCCTGAAATCCAGCATCCTATCACTACAGCACCCCTGTACCTGGAACCCAACTCGAGCCCTTGCTAGGGACCAGCCTGGTGCTGGGCTGTGGGCAGAAGCCTGGGTCTCTGGGTCTCACCTGCACCACCCTCATGTCCAGCCCCGTCTCAGAGGAGAGCTGCTCCCGCACGTGCCGGGCAGGCTTGGGTGAGTTCTTGTAGGCATTCTTCAGTGTCTCCAGCTGCTTGGCCGTGATGGTGGTGCGGGGCCGCTTAGCCCCCGCCTCGGAGTCATCTGAGAGCAAATGAGTGGCGTGAGCAGACCTGGCAGTAAAACACGAGCTTGGGGGCCATCAAACGCGAGCTTAGGGGCCATTAAATGTGAGCTTAGGGGCCGTGCCTACCGTTCTGCTTGGCGGTCTCATAGTCCTCCTTGCACACCAACCTCCCGTCCTCCATCAGGTAGAACTCGTCTCCGGTGGCCAGCTGCCTGCTGCAGATGATGCAGGCGAAGCAGTGCAGGTGGTAGACGAAGTCCTGAGCTTTGCGCACCACCTGCGTGGGGGGGATGCCCTGCTGGCACGCCGTGCATTTGGTCCCGAAGCGCCTGCAAGGACAAGCGGCCGGCGGGGCAGAGTTAACCCAGCAATCAGGCTAATTACGTGTGACACCTCACGCGGCGCGGCTTCATCTTCGTCAGCGGCTGCCCTAATGGAGCTGGGGAAGGGTTGAGTTTAATGGTTCTTTTAACTAATGCTTATAGGCTGCCCGATTTCCCCCGCAAGGACAGTACATATTTCATCCACATTAATACCAAATAAATTAATTACACCGCCCCGCTCGCATGATGAATCCCAGATTAATGCAGAATGATGGGGCTCTTACGCCGTAATGACAGCGCGGCGGTGCCGTGCCGTGCCAGCAGGGTGGGCTGCCAGGGGTGTGCAGTGAAACTGTGCACGGAGTGAGCAACAAAACTGTGCAGAGCGGGCATGGAGGAGCGGGCAAGGAAAGAGCAGTGGGGTCACCATCCCCAGAGGTGCTACAGAATTGTGGAGATGCGGCACTGAGGGATGTGTGGATGGGTTGGGGCTGGACTTGGGGATTTGAGAGGTTTTTTTTTCCCCCTCAGTCTTAATGATTCTATGTGCAAAAATATTGAAGCGTGGCCTTTTGGGCAGCTTCAGGTGAGCAGACCTCGAGCCCCATGGATGGGTGAACCAAAAGTGACAGCACTGGGCTATTGATTGGCACAGGGTGATCTAAGTAGGCCCTGACATGAGCCCAGCACTGAGCTCCCAGTGCCAATACCATCGATCCCCACACCTTTAGGCCATCAGTGTAAGTGACTTTGGGATCATCAGCTTCATTTCACGCCATGATTTTCAGTGGTTGCAGTAGTGGGATGTGGGGACGTGGTGCTGGCGCTGCCGTGCCCATGGGCTGGCAATGGGATTAGGATCCCCGGGGGGGGGGGCACAGAAAACATGCTGAGCCCCCTCCATTCTGCTGAGCTGGGAACACCCCCCTAGGATTATGGCCACATCATCGCCATCCTGCGGGTTGGTGGGGATGAAGGATGGGAGATGCGGTGTCAGCCCTTAGGAAAACCCCCAGCTTCCACCAGAAAACGGGGATAGAGCATCTGTGTTGGGAAGTAAATTTTAGGGGGAGGGTGGGGGGCTGGGAAATGTTCCATGTGGGCGGTGGGAATGTTGTTCCATGCAGCAGCAGGGGAGGTGGATGAGCACACGGCTCGGAGGGAAAGCAGCGGGGAAAGGAAGGGAGGCTCGGTGAGGAGAGAATATTTTAAAAAAGAGGGGGAAAAAAGGGGGGAAGAAAAGTGAGAAAAATGAAAACAAATAAATAAGGGGGGAGGGAAGGGGGTGGAGGGAAAGGTTGAATAAAAAAAAAAAAAATTAAAAAGAAGAAATGGAGAAGAAAATAGGAGCGGAGCGGCGCCCTCTCGCTCAGAGGCGGGCGGAGAGCGCAGCATCGGGGATTTCACGGCTACATCGCGACACGGGGCGGCCGGCAGCGCGCGGGGAGGACGGGGAGAAGGACGGGGTCCTCGCGGTACTCACTTGAAGAAGTCTTCCTTGCAATAGACGCTGCCGGCACGGGCGAAGCAGCGCTCGGCCAGCTGCATCTGGCAGTCGGCGCACTTGAGGCACGAGCTGTGCCAGTGTCGGTCCAGCACCTTGAGGATGAATTTGTCCAGGATGTGCTGGCTGCAGCCGGCGCACTGCGGGATCTCTGCGGGGACGGAGGGGAGAGCGGCTCAGCAACGCCGGCATCGCGCGGAGCTTCGAGCTCCCGCCGTCCCAGATGGAGAGATGGGAACTGGGGGGGAGAGAGGAAAACGGGGAGGGGAAGGAAGGGGAGAATGAAGGGGAGAAGGGTGAGGGAGGGAAAAGAGGTTGGAAAAAGGAAAAGGGAAGGAAGAGAGGAGGGGAAGGGGAATGGTTGATGAGAAGGGTGGAAGGGAAAAGGGAGTGGGGAGGAAAAAGGGAAGGATGAAAGGGAAAAAAGGAAAATGGAAAGGAAAGGGGAGGGAAGGTGGAAGGGGAAAAGGAAAGGGAAAGAGAAGGGAGGAAAAACGAAGGGAGACAGAGAAGAGAAAAGGAAAGGAAAAGAGAAGGGGAAAAGAAAATAAAACGGAAAAAAGGAAAAAGAAAGAGAAAAAAGAAAAGAAAGGGGGGAAAGAAAGGAAATGAGAAAAGGAGAGGGGGGAAAGAAAAAGAAAATAAAATGGAAAAAGAAGAAAGAAAGAGAAAAAGAAAAGAAAGGGAGAAAAAAGCGAAAGGAAAAGAGAAAAGGAAAAGAAAGGGGGAAAAGAAAGGAAATGAGAAAAGAAGAGGGAAAAAGAAAATGGAAAATGTCAAAGAAAAGGGAGGGGAAAGGAAACGAAAAGAGAAAAGAAAAAGAAAAAGGAAGGAAGGAAGGAAGGAAAAAAGAAGGGAGAAAGAGAAGAGAGTAAGAAAAAAAAGGAGAAAAAGGAAGAGAAAAAGAAAGGAACATCAAAAGGAAAAAGGAAGAAGGAAGGAAAAGGAAATCAACGAAATGTTGGGAAGGGAATAAGAAACGGGAGAAGGAAAGGAAAGAAGAGAGAAGAGGAAAAAATGAAAGAGAAAATAAAGGAAAATAAATGTAAAAAAAAAAATAAAAGGAAAAAGGCAAAAAAAAAAGAAAAGGAAAAAAAAGGGAAAATAGGAAAAGGAAATGGAAAAGGGAAAGGGAAATGGATGTATGGAGGACAAGAAAATAAAGGTAACACAAGAAATTAAAATGGAAGAAGAAAGGGAAAGGAAATAAAAAGGGGGAAAGAAAGCAAAATACCAGGAAAATAGGAAATGAAAAGAAGGGATGGTTAAGCGGGAGCGGGGAGGGGAGGACGGAGAGCGGGGATGCGCAGCGCTGGAGGCGGCAGCACCTCCGATGTCGGGATCGGAACCGGCCGCTGTGTGCAGCCCACGTCTGTCCCGTACGGCTCCGGAACCGAGCCGATTTCTGTTTGTTTTTAAGTAGTTCGGATAATTTCATTTGATCTGATATATATACACACACACACATCTGTGTGTACATAGATATACACGCATGTATATACACATAAATGCATGCATACACACACACACATATATATATACACACACATACAGGGGGACCAATCCAGCCCCACTCCCCCCCACTGCACTGCGAGTTGGCAGCACAGCCCGTTGGTTTTATTCCATCTACACTGATCGATTTCTCTCTTATTTCTCCTTCTTCTTATTATTTTCAATGATCGTTCCGTCGATGCATTCGTTTATTGTTGTTGTTGTTATTATTACTATCATTTTGGGAAGGTGCTTTAGGCAGAAGTTTGGGTTCGGCAAAAGGTTTGCCGCACGTTCTCCCGCCTGCCCCTTAAGAATAGCGTTATTAATGAGGGTGTCAATTAGCGTGGGCAGTGCTGGGGGTTTATAACCTTCCCCTTCCCCCCTCCCCCCCGCGCAGCTCTTTGCTCCTCAACGCCAAGCTGAAGTCGATGCAAAACGTTGGGGTTAAGGCAGAAAGGTGCTGTGAGGGTCGGGGTGGAGGGGGGGGGGAAGAGAAATGCGATCTCACAGCGATCGGAAACGCGAACGGAAAAGGGCGCCCATCGCTGTGAACAGTGCTGGGGATGGAGGGGAGGGGGCGGGGGGAGGCACAAAATAAAACAAAATACAAATAATAAAATATTATAATAATGATAGAGCAATCCTTGGGGGGGCTGCAGCCTCTTTCCCACCCTCCGGAGCCCGGCCGGAGGCCCTGCACTGACGCCCCTATTTCTCACCGCACGATTTCCCCATAGCAGGGGAGTTCAGACGCGGTGCCTCCGCGGACTGCACCCCAGTCCCTACGGAGCCCCGAAGCCCCCCCCTCAACCCCCCTCCCCCCTTCGAGCAGCACCACGGGAACTTCGGCAGCACAAACCCTGCTATTTCGCCAGCGATTTGTTGTGCTTAAATACACGAGAAGAACAACATCTCGTTCGCTGTACCCTAGTGCGGGCAGAAGCAGAGAGACAGCCTCACATCGGGCCGGGAAACGAATGGTGCACAGCCCCCCTCCCCCCTCTGTAGACCCCCCTCCCTCCACCGCGGGACGCTCCGCTTCTCCGGAACCGTTTGCAAACGCGCTGGGGAGGGGGGAGGGGGAACCGTAATAGCAGTAATCGATGATCTCGAATGCAAATTATAAATGCTAACAACGATAACAAATACAACGGAAACCCGACCGGCAAAGCTCGCACCCCCCCAACCTCCCCGTTCCCGCACAGTGTCCCCGCACACGTCCGGACGTTCACGGCCCTGCCTGGGGGGACACAAGGAGCCGCGCCACCTGTAGCTCTGCAGCACGTACCGATGGACGCGCGGACGGAGAGACGAGAGGCGGGTCGGGGCCGCGTGTCGCGACACACGGCAACAGCGGGGCCACCGCTCGCAGCCCCGTGCGCACGCACAGCCGCGCTGACCGCCCCGTCGGGGCCCCCCCGGCTCTCCCATGCAGCAGCGCTGCCGCACACGGGAAGAAATGAAAGGAGAAGAAGCGAGGCCGGGGCTGTAAGCGGGCCGCAGGGAGGGGATCGGGGGAGAAGAGAAACGCGTCCTTACGTTGTACCGGCACCCCGAGGATCTCCGGCAGCCCCTTGACAGCCCCTTCGGCAGCGAGCGCTGAGCTTTGCATCATTTTATTGGCCCGGGGGCGGCGGAGGGGAGAGAAGAGGGCAAGGAGAGGGCGGCGGGCCGGCCCCCGGCCGCAGGCAGCACCGGTTCCAGCAGCAGCAGAGCCGAGCCCCAGCCGTGCTGTACCGTGCCGGTGCCGGTGCCGGCCCGGGCGCGGCGCCGCAGCTGTGCCGCCAGCACCGCCCGCCTCCCATTCATTCCCCCTGCGGGGAGCGCGCCTGACGTCACCGCCCGCAGGGGGCCGGGGGCGGGGCCTGCAGCCCTCCGCCAATCGCCGCACGCCGCACGCCGCGGGGGGCGGGGTCTGAGAGCTGGAGGGGCGTGGCTTCGTGGCTGATGGGCGTGGTCTGCTTGAAAGGGGCGTGGTCTGGCGGCGCCACGCCTCAGGACTCCAGAGGCTGCGGAGCGTGGTTGGCGTTATCGCGACACGGGGCTGTCGTGACATAGCGCTGTTCAACAGTGCCGGTGCAGAGAGGCAGAGCGGAGATTGGGGCCGTTCGGTGCTGGTGAACCGGGCGCGGGGACGCCCAAATCCCCCCAAATCCCGAGCACGAGGCTCCTGCACCGAGACCCATCCAGGCAGCACGGATCCTGCCCGCAGCACGGCCGGTGCTGAGCAGCTCTCTGCGGGTCGGGAAGAGCGATCCCGGAGCGTTGGGACATACGGACAGACGGACGCACGGACATCTCTTTTCCCCATCCCCTACCCAAGCCATTCCCCAAACGCCACTGCCGGAGTCAGCGGGCTATGTCCGGCGGGCTCCGATGGATCCTTCTGGCCTAACGAATCCCCTTCTCCCGTGAGGGTTCCGTTCTCATTCATCTTTCTGCTCCGCACATCGGTACAGACCTCCCCTATCGCCATCCGCATCGCCCATCCCTGCGCAACGCGGCTCCCCCTGACCCTCGCAGCACCTTTCCGCACCGCCCCATCCTCGCCCCTCTCCGTCCCCTTCCGCACGTTCCCTCGCCCATCTATTCCCGGCGGTGCTGCTCTTCGGTCGGCTTTGGGTTTCGTTCACCCCCGGTGCCCTGAGAGTGCGTCAGGTTTGCAGAAACCCATCCCCTCCACGCTGCCCTAACTGGGAAGTGGGGATCCGGATTCTCGCATCCTACACCCACCCCCGTTGCATGGAGAAATCACAGAGCGGGCACTTACCGGCGGCTGGAGAACGCGGGGAGTGCCAAGCAGGGCGCTGTTAATTTCAATTGGGAATTAGCAGACACGAAGGGTGTCCCCCACCCCTCCCAGCCCCGCGATTTTGTATCCGGAGAGACGCTCCTGCCCGCATCGAGGAGGGAAAGGAAAGAGGGGAGAAAGGGAGCGGCGGGCAGCAGCGAGCCGGGGGGGGGGGGGGGGGGGGGGGGGGGCGGCTGGCCCAGGAAAATTAAATTGCACTTGAGGGCAAATTCTATTAGGGAATAGCGACTGTCTCCCATCAGCCTGCGCCATTTGGGTAATTACCGGCGATGGGAAGGGGCGGCCCCGGGGGGAAGAAGCAGCACGGCCCCCCCCCCTCCCCCGGATCTCAGCCCACCTGTGAGCACTGCACAACGCGGTGCTGCCCCACCGCATCGGGTGCCCATCGGTGTGTGGGGGGGTCCCCAGCTCTGCCCCTCCGCGTGCATCGGGCCAGCACCAAACAGGATTACGGAAAGTCTATTTACGGGACTCTCTTTTTCCTGTGTGCGTGGTGGCTTTTAGCTCCCAGCACCGCAAATCTCCCCCCACAACGGCGATCTGGGCAGTCCCATCCCCCCCCCCCCAACCGCCAGCGCATCCTATCTCCCACAACTGCTTTGGGGTCGGGGAGGGGGGGGGATGCAGAGGAGCATCTGCTTCCAGGAGAGGTGCACGGGGGAGAGGAGGGGGCGGTTAAGGGATGCTGGGGACGGGCACCTCCCCCTCCAGGGAAATCAAGGAGAGGGAGGCAGCACGACAGACGATTTATTTCAAGGGCAGGAGGATGGGCCCACAGAGCTGCCGGCCCTCTCCTCCCACCTGGGCGAAGTGAAGATATCAAGAAAATGGCTCCAAATCGGATTGACACCCCCCTCACGCACACCCCCTAATAAAGTTTATTATCAGCCGGGCTCTAATCCCTTTAAATCCCCGCACGGGGGGCAGGGCTGGGATTAGGGGAGGGCTGCGTAATCCCAATGAATTTGTTACAGGGGGATTTAGGCAGCGCCAACAGAGCAGATGGCCGCAGCCTCAGAAAACAACCATTTTCCTTAATGATTCCTAACAAGGATAAAAGGGCAGGGAGAAACGGGGCCAGCGGCCGGCCCAGGTCCCGGTCCCCGGGGATGCTCTTGCGTCCTGCCCAAGGCACAGCTGCAGCTCCAACACTGGGGCAGGTTTATTGCCAACTTCTTTCCTTGCGTCCCCGTCTCTGTGGGGGCCGTCTGACCACTTGGGGACACTGCAACCCCGGGGATGGAGGGGTGGGTATCATCCAGAGGCAAGAGAACAAAATAAGGGACGAGCCGACAGCACCATCGGCAAAAATAATTTATTCCACTAAGACAAGCAGAGAGCGAGCAATGAGACGGGGAGGGGAACAAAATGCTGAAACCCACCCCCAGTGCCCCCACAGGCAAAGGGGGAACAGCAGGGGGGGAACCAACGCCACGCTCCTGGCCCCAGGAGCCTCCTGAACCAGGAGGCTGCCCCAGCATGGGACCAGGCTGCCCTGTCCCAAACCAGCCCAGTCCCTGCAGAGGGCAGTGGGGTGCCAGGACCCCAACCAACATCAGCATCGCAGCCCCAGGAATGTGGCACACAAAGAAACAAGCCGCCCCCCACCCCCCCTCAAAAAACAAAAAAACAAAAACCAGCAGCAAAACTTCTGCCCTTGGCAATGTGAGGGCCGAGGGGGGTCCTGCAGCCAGAGGGGGGGGGGGGGAAGGGTCCCACTTTGCTCTCACGCCACGGGGAAGCCAGGACGGCCTTTCCGTGCACGGGTGCGGAGTCGGAAGAAGGTGTACATGCCCAGCAGGCACATGGAGGAGAGGAAGTAGAGCGCGATGCAGAGGCTGACGTCCAGGCGGGAGAAGCCCAAGCCCAGCACCCGCAGCCAGGGGCTCCTCCGTAAGCCCCCCTCCTCCTCTTCCTCACGGCTCTCAGGCACTTGCAGCCGCTCCCAGCCGACGTCGTGATGCAGGGCGACGGTGTCCCTCTTGCTGAGCCGCCGGTGCCGGCCGGCAGCCCGCAGCGCCTTGCTCTTGAAGTGCTGCTCGCTGAAGGAGTCCAGGTCCACGATGTCCTCCCCCAGCGCCTGCAGCCGTGGGTTCCTGCGCACGATGCTGGGACGGCGCAGCTCCGAGGAGCCCGGCCGCCCCGTCTCGCTCTCCCTGTCGGGCTTCTCTGTCTCCTTCTCTCCCTCCTCCTCTTCCTTCCTCTCCTCTTCTTCCTTTTCCCGGAGGCCTGCAGTGCCCAGCCTGGCACTCGCCACCACCTCCTCCCTGGCCCTGGGGATGGGGATGGCATGGTCCAGGCGGAGGTTGCCCGGGGAGAAGTGCTTCTTGAGGAAGCTCAGCACAGCCGTCTCGTCCCACATATGCACTCCCTGCTCCTCCCGGTGGCACTGAGGACACATGTCTGGCGGAGGCCACTGCAGTTTGGGGAACTGGGGGTCCTCTGTGTCACCACCTGGAGGAGCAAGGAGTGAGAGGTGCCCTAAGCAGCAGGGTCAGCGCAGCCCCACGCTGTGCCAGGATCAGCTTCCCAGACCTGTGAGGGAGCGGGATGCTTATGGGGAGCTCAACGGCTCTAATGCCACACAACCATCTGCTACGGGATGTCCCCACTACCATGGGTCCCCTCACCCTAAAGGAACCATTGACCAACCTCATCATAACAAGGGATCCCTTAATAGTCCCAGCTCCCCTCCCTTGAGAAACCACCTGCTCCCTGCATCCCTAGGTACCACTGTGCAGCCCCTGCTCCCCCCGATCCCAGCTCCATACCTGCCAGGCGTGCATTGACCTCATTGTGGTGGGACCAGAGCCAGAGAACGGCCTCATCCCGGCTCTTCACCTGGTCCATGGACTTGGCTGCCATGGCCTCAAAGTGCTGGGCACACTCCTGGCAGCCAAAGAAGTGCCTGACATAGCAGCGCATGGTGTTCAGCACCTCCAGCGGCAGCTCTAAGGGAGAAAGAGGGCCAGAGGGTTGGGAGGAGGAGGAGGGATGAGTCAGGAGCCCACAGAGCCACATCACCCACAGGCCATCCCCCTACTTCCCCCAGGATGAAGCACCCCTCATCCCACTACCTTGGTCAGGGCCGCCCTGGGCAGCCTGAACTGTCAGCAGGTGGAAAATGGTCCAGAGCCCACAGGGGTAACCACGGAAATGGGGCTCGCTGCCCCTGCAGCCCACCCAGGTGACATTGGTGGGGAGCACAGCGGCGGGAATGGCCTGCAGGACAGATGGACGCAGAGTGACCAAGCTGCTGAGTGGGATGGGGGTGGGATAAAGGGGGGTGTCGGGGGGGGTGCCTTACATCCTCCTTATTCTTCACCGCCTCCTTCAAGGTGCTGCGGGGCAGCTCAGGCTCTGTCCAGTTCCGCAGCCAGCTGTCCAGGGACTGCAGGAAGGTCTGCACGGAGGGGCGCCCAGGGAAGTACTGTGCAAAAAAGAAGGAGAAAACAATGTGGTGAGGACACCTGAATCTAGCTCCAGGACAACCCCCAGACATGGGACTCCCGGCATCCTGCACTGAGTTTCCCCTGCAGCAGGCTCTGAACAGCAGCTCCAGTGCCCAGCTGTCTGAGCAGGGCACAAAGCTGCTCCGGAGGTAAGGCAGCACAAATCCGATTAGCGGCAATGCTCTCGGACCAAGGAGAAGTGGGGGGTGGTCCATGAGAGTGTGGCACCCGTGGCATCCATCTGCACACAACGTGTGCCACAGCTACAAGAAATACAGTGATAGCAAATAGGAAAAGAGGCCAAGAAGCAAAAGGAAGGAGCACTTTGCTTTTTCTTCAAGGCTGATCTGT